GCCCGGCGGGCACTGTCCATGCCCGTAAGAGGCCCGCTTGAATTATACACAAGTAGCTATCAGATTAAGTCGTCTAGAGCTGTTCTGTGTTGTCCGAACCAAATAATGCCTCGTTCGAGTTCACCAAGAACCTCATCCTCGTACCTCACCAGAGATAGTCGTCTAAATAATTTCCTATAATACTTGACTCAGTCACAATGATAACCAATATGAACGATTGAAGCGAAGGAGGAAGGTTGGTCCCGTCTAGCCAGTTTCAGAGACTGCAAGGATCGCTAATAAACGTTCCATAGGCTCAGGGCCAAAGATAAGAAAACAATTCCGCGTGGAGAGAGGGTTGGCGGTTGCAACGGAAAAGGAAATCCTTGGCATGGATGTAGACGAGGTCCGTAGAGACGACGAGGGTTAGGGCTGCGACTGGACAGGGTGGGAAGATCCTTTCCAGACGATCCCGTGTCTCGAGATTTCTTTTCTGCCTGTTGCCACCAGTGCACCAGAGTTCGAGACGAAACTCTATTGGAATTGTCAGCCTGTTCGGATAAGCATCGGAACGGAAAGCAGACGCGGAAGCGGAGAACGGAGAAATGGAGATGGTCGCTTGCGTACCGTTGAAGAAACGACAACGAAACTCGCTGTTCTGTCTTCACTTCCTTCTCCTTTTTTCTTTTTTTTTCTCCCGATTTCAGGTGACCTTCGACATCGACGCGAACGGTATCTTGAACGTGTCAGCGGTGGAGAAGTCGACGCATAAGGAGAACAAGATAACGATAACCAACGACAAGGGACGGCTCAGCAAAGAGGACATCGAGCGAATGGTGAACGAAGCGGAAAGATACCAAGCGGAGGATGAAATACAGAAGGAGAGGATCACGGCGAAGAACAACCTCGAGTCGTACTGTTTCAACATGAAGAACACGATCGAGGACGAGAAGGTCAAGGGGAAGATCGACGAAGCTGACAGGAAACGCATCGCTGATAAGTGCAACGAAATTATCAAGTGGCTGGATGGCAACGCTTCCGCTGCCAAACAGGACTATGAGTCTCAATTGAGAGACGCTGAAAAAGTATACATTCGTCAAATTATTTTTAAAAATGTATGAAAGTATGTTTTATCATTATTTTCTTTTTTTTTTTCATTTTAACGATGGGTTCGTATAGGCAAATTAAATAAAATGCAATTTGAAATTCGGTGAATTCCCCGTGATATTACCATCGATAGATCCCTCAGTTTCCTACGGATGGTACCTTGGTCACTTCACGACTGAAGATACACAGTTATCACCTGACGATCAATCATTCATTTTCCAGATTTGCAAGCCTATCATCGCGAAATTTTACAAAAGAGCCGGTTCCAGCGGCCAATTTGAAAGTCCTACAGACGGTCCAACCATAGAGGAAGTAGAATGAGTATATACCATTAGTCGATAATGCCACGTGCTGCCATTGTGTGAATTCAAATTTTCCGCGGGAAAATCAAAATCCCTAGTCTCGAGTTGAACAAAAGGAAACGAACGAAAGTACACTCAGACGTGATAATACATATGATAAAAATTGTACAGGATCGAACAATTAAATAAACGTTGCTCGTTAATTTCCAACGTGTTATTTATTGCAAGCGAGTTTGGGAAAGATAGTTATCGTAATGATTTCGTAATACATTCGAAATATGCGATAATATTGTCAGACTAACACAACGACCTAGCGCCGCCGCTTACGTGTGTGTATGAATGTGTATGCAGGCGTGATAAACTTTGTTCATGATCGAACGGGTTTTCTCTTCTCGCATCACGTTAAAACTAACATTGTTTATGCATGTAAAGAGTATGTACACAGTTTTCGGGGCTGGAGGGGACACTATTAAATATTTAATGACCTTAGCGTACAGTAAATATAGCCTACGCATTAATGGAACGTTTCTTCTCGTAAAAAATAGATTATGCAGAGCACCATGGTTTCTTCATCGTCTTCTTCGTGGTTATTCATCTTCTTATTTTCTCTCTCTCTCTCTCTTTCTTCATTAGTCCTTCTTTCTTCAATCATTTTCATCGTCGTCGAATCAACTGGGTTTCTTTTTTTTGTTTACCTATGTACAAATTTTCCGCGCGTCTATTTTTGTCGCGACGAATCGCGACGCTGTAACGCTGCTTGCAAACACATTACGAAAATAACGTGGCTGGTATTTCCGGTCGGCGAGATTACAGTATCGCCGCCGTATCGGCGCGATATCTTGCGAACAATCGAGAAACAAACGAGGAACAGAAACTGACTATAATGTTGCCGCAAAATTTTATGCCCTTTGCGCTCTCAAGTCTTTCTTTCAAACACGCGCTCTACGATACACAGATTTACTCATTTCGTTTATTTTTTATTCGCTCGTTCTTCGCGAGTACACGGTTCTCGGCTAACTTCGATCGTACAATTCGCTCCGTCGTATTAATTCGATCGATAAAAAGTGTGCAAGAAGAAAATTTCGAATATTCGATTAGTTTGAGATAATTCACAAAAATACACTCGATCTGTATAGATCGTTACATAGAAATTCCTAACAGTAGCGGTTTCTAAATCAGAGCAGCGAAAAAAAAAAGAAACGAGAATTACAGAAATATTCGTTCTTTTTTTCTTTTTCTACCAAGCATTACGAGAAGCGAAGTAGATACACGTTCGAATTTCATACTTCATCTCGAGATGTTCGCTCTGCTGCCGCCAAGTAATTCCAGGTATTCCAATATTCTCGGCTCATTTATTCCAAGTTCGCAGAGTATGCCTTGGTAATTACGCAATCGCGCCACGAACCGTTCGCTGGGAACGAGCGAGAGAAGACGGATTCCGTCTCGGGATCTTTGAGTCTGCAAGTAAGTATCTCATTACCGAGCTCAAAGAACCGGAGGATCCTTTGCTTCGAATTTCTATGGAGTCTTCCTCGTCCTCGGATTCGTCATTGAGTTCGAACATGGCCGTCGTCGAGACGATCGTCGAAAGGAAGAAGACGTATTAAATCAGACCCCGTTTCGGATAAAAAAAGAAGCGGGGTCTTTTCTTCGAACGTACAAATTAACAGCTGCAAAAAAATGGCGGATAGAGGAGCGAGAATGAACACAACTTTGAAAAACAAAACAAAATAGAGAAAAAAAAAAAGAACAAACGGAAACACGAGCTAGGCATAAAATTTTTCGTAAGACCACCATGGAGGCTCGAAATCCTTTCGATTTCACCATTTCGTTTCGTTTTCGAGAGTCCTTGGTACGGTCGTACAGAAGTAAGTAAGATCACAAGCGTCATAGAGGCTCACGGGAGACCTCTGGGGTTAGAAACAAAAACGTAAAAAATAGTAATCGTTGTATACGGTGAGCATGTATAATGGATTTTGTATGCGTGTTTAGTCACGTGTGCTCGAGCACACGTGCCCTATGTGTGTGTCTGTGTATTTATTCCTACAATGTATAATCGCTTAAACTCTAGCTTGTTTCATTCCTTTATAATTATATACATGTTACAACGTCGCATCGGTCTTTTGCATGTTTTATCGGTTCGGATAATATTATATGTGACGACCACGTGTGACTCCTTACCCTTTATATCACATATCGTATATAAGAAGCCACCAGAAGTATGTATATACATATGTATATGTATATATATAATTCTAGGTCAAGATTCGTTTTTGTTCGCGACGTGAACGCCGCGCTCTCTGACATTATGCTAACCAGGTAATGGAAACATCCGTAAGCTGTACACGTGTTTTGCTTTCGAGTGTGACGACGTCCACGAGTTCACGTTCTGCCACGAACAGAAACATGCGTTAACGAGACGTTCAATCGATTGTCAACCTATTGTCACGTAACTGTAATTCTATCACCTATGAAAAACAACAACGCCAATGTACATTATTATATTTAAAATTTCGACTCTCTCGATTATCACTTGAAAAACAAAAAAAAAAAAAAAAACAAAAAGAAACGAAAGCTTTGCCTACGCTAATTAGAAATTTCACTCGGATCGAGGTAACAACGACAAACCAATTAGCAATTTTAAATTACACAATTTTTACACGAAAGAAACAACGACTCTGTTCTCGGTTCCGTCATCTTTTAGCGTCGTGAGTATAGCCGGTGAAAGCGATACTGCGAGGTGCTACAATCAGGCGTAGAAGTATACTCAATTCAATTTGGTATACTTTTGTACCACAAACGGCAATTCGAAGGAGATAAAGAGTTCCAATATATTTGAAAAAATTTGGTATTGAAAAAAAATTTCTTAGCGCTTTAATCTTTGACAGCTGAAAGATAATTTTGACCAATATAGAAATTACTATTATTTCAATATTTCACTGCTTAATATTTTATAACTGTAATATTTTACTGCTCGATATTTCATAACTTTATTATTTTACTGCTCAATATTTTACAACTCTAACGAAAGATTGCAGGCAGAAATATCGGAAGTCGATTCAAAAATGACACACGGCCCTGGGTGCGGCTACACGAATACTTCAATCCACGACCTCCCCGTATCGCTTCCACCAACTATACCATTCGTGGCGAATATCATTCCACTCGCGACCTCGTTTCGCGGGACCACGTGGAACACGGTACAGTCGATGCGAGTCCAGCAACGACTAGGCACTTGAGGCTGTCTCAGGGATCTTCAAGATCGTCCATTTTGTCACGCGATCGGTCACCTCACTTCCGCAAGAAAGCACGATGTGTATTGGATTAAACATACGGCGAGGATCATCTCGTCGACGTTTCCGAGTCCCTCTAGGACTCGAAGGATATGTACAAAGGACGCGCTTGTATGTGTGTGTGTGTGTGTGTGTGTTTCTAAAAGAATTAAACGACTTCAAGCTACCAATACTTCCTATTCGCTAAGTATATCACGTTCACCGATATTTCAATTCACGCGTGGAAAAAGTAGGGCCACGAGTAAGAAAAGAAATTCAAACGGGTCGCTGTTGGAGAAATGTTCCTTCCTGTCGTGCAAAAGGAATCATGCTTGACGAGTGTAGACACGCGCGCGTTTTTCACGCATAAATCACGCGTTCTCAGGTGACGATCGCTATTTCCTCTCGCGATCACGTTTCCCGTTTTGTTTACGCGACTCAGTCGATCGCTTCCCTGAGCGCGGCCAGCTGCTCCTCCCCGAGCTTCACCTTGTCCTGAATTTCACGGCCGTCCACGATCAGCTTCGCCTTCATGTTGATGAAGTGTTGATAATCCGCGAACTCCTCTTCGTTCAGGTACTTGGAGAGGATCGTCGACACGTTCACGCTCCGCTTGTCGATGTTGCTCTTCAGGATCTTCGCTTCCTCCAGCTGGTCCATCAACTTGTCCCGTTTGCTCTCCAAGATTTTCTGGAAACGATAAATGAAATATTGTCTTCTTAAATCACAGTTCCGCATCGATATACGTAATTTCGAATTTCGCGGGTACGTTGACCTATTCCGTTCCGTGATTTCTCCCGACGACAGCTCTTTAATTGTATAATCAAACGAATTGCGTAAGATGTGTTCGATAAATCAAGACGACTATCTGTCAGCCGGAATGAGTAATTGCACCTGCGCTTTACGGCCTTCCTGTTCAACAATTACAAATCACCTGACGAGAAGCAACATTACCGCGAGTCGACGACAACCCAAGGACGACGGGTAAATTTTCAATTAAACCACGCGCGTGTACACGCTCGATTACGGTCCCTGTTTGTTTAAAACGTCGCGGTTTAACGAGAAATGATCGTTGCACAGGTTTCGATCGATCACGATCAACCTTGTGTCGGTTCCTGCTCGTTTTACCGAACGACACGTTTCCAGGTAGAAAATGAAAAATCGCCACGCCGCGCGTACAAATTTCCACGGAGAAACCACGGATTCGACGATATATTTCGTTAACACTCCCTCTTTCCGCGTGATCGGCCGGCATTCCGTAAAGTGCGTTCTCAGCTCGAGCCAGTCTGCCGCTCAAGCCGAGAAGTAAGCTCGTAATCTTGCCAACTTCTTCCACGTGAAGTCGATATTTCGACGCTTCCGCTGGCCGAGCGACTGCCGAGATCCTCGTGGAAACTCTTGCCCCCAACGATTCATTCACCTCGCCCTCCTCACGCACAGCTTCTTGCTCAGCCCTCAGGACCACTAACTTCTTGTCCAGCCTCATCATCAGCTCCTCCTGCGAAGAAAATCGATTACACTTCAGGGACTCGGCCCCTCCTCGAGTGCGTACAGTCGGTCGAAGGAATATCGATACGAGAATCTACGGAACCCTAGGAAGACAAGGGCAAAGAATCTCAGTCAGGATCGCGTGGAATTTTTGGGAGGTTTGTTCTGTATTGTGCTGTTAACGCGAGAAAATGAGGGTGAAAATTTTCAGTCAGGATCGCGTGAAATTTTTGGGAGGTTTATTCTGTATTAATGTAAAGTAATTCAGTTGAAATACAGTGTAACGTAGAAAAAGGTATAGTCGGTGGAAGAAATATAGCGGGGTCATAAAATTGATCAGGTGTCAAAGTTTACATATTTCAGGATGTCGATAGTAATCTGAGAAGATAAAGGTAAAAATGTCTTAGTCAGTCCTACATGAAGATTTTGGTAGGATTATTTTATATAGTTCTATTAGGGAAACTTTTAATTAACGCGTCTGATACCAATATAAAGTAATTCAGTTGAAATATAGCGTATCACAGGAAAGGTATAGTTGGCGGAAGAAATATGGCGAGATCGTAAAATTTGATTAGGTGTCAAAATTTACATGTTCGAGAGCATAACGAATGGACATAAATCTGAGAAAATGAGGACTTGGCTTTGATTCAGTCCCAATTAAAAAACATAAAATGTCGCATTTGACCTTGAGTGTCACTATTTAATGCTTGCATTTACAACTTGGCTATATTTCTTCCGTCGATTATACAACTGAATAGAACGGAAGTTGCTTGACTTTGGGGTCACTTTTAGGTCAGCTGCGGCTTTGATATATCGAGGGTTGTATTATGTAATGAATAATTTGAATTCTAATGACTTCCTGGAAAGAGGAAAGCATGGGAAACAGGAAAGAAATCTGGCGATTGAATTTTTCAAGGGGTGACCCCAGGTGTCTCAATTTAGCAGAATAAAAATTCTATTTACCATATATATAATACGAGTAAATTAATTTTTCGCGTAATTTCCAAAGTTTCCAATACGAGTAAATTAATTTCCCACATAATTTCCAAATTTCCCAATATGCGTACCTAAATGAATCTTCCAGATAATTTCCAAATTTCCCAATATGAGGACCTAATTGAATCTTCCACAGAATTTCCAAAATTCTCAATGAATAAATTAATTTCTTACATAATTACCAAAGTTCCCAATACGAGTAAATTAATTTCCCACATAATTTCCAAATTTCCCAATATGCGTACCTAAATGAATCTTCCACATAATTTCCAAAATTCTCAATATGAATAAATTAATTTCTTACATAATTACCAAAGTTTCCAATATGAATGAATTGATTTCCCACATAATTTCCAAAGTTTCGAATACGAGTAAATTAATTTCCCACATAATTTCCAAATTTCCCAATATGCGTACCTAAATGAATCTTCCAGATGATTTCCAAAATTCTCAATATGAATAAATTAATTTCTTACATAATTACCAAAGTTTCCAATATGAATGAATTAATTTCCCACATAATTTCCAAAGTTCCCAATACGAGTAAATTAATTTCCCACATAATTTCCAAATTTCGCAATATGAGTACCTAAATGAATCTTCCAGATAATTTCCAAATTTCCCAATATGAGGACCTAATTGAATCTTCCACATAATTTCCAAAATTCTCAATGAATAAATTAATTTACCACATAATTTCCAAACTTCCCAGCACGACTAAATCAATTCCCAAACTTCCCTCACCTTTTTCTGTCTGAGATCAAGGCTGTCGGTCGGGATAACAGTCGGCGCGTCCTCCTGCCGCGTCAATCCTTCCACGACAGTGACGTCTCGCGAGTATCTCGTGAGGAACCTCGCCTTCCCCTCGGACGTGGTGAAATAGGCCGACGTCGGGGACAGAGGACTCGTCGAGCCCGTGGACAAAGGAGTGACCGGAGCCGATGGTATCGTCTCGTGTCTGAAACAAACATCGTTTCCAATCTCTAAATCATTCTTCCCTCGGCTGGTCCCGTAATCCTGGTGTCTCGCAAAAATCAACCCAGACAGCTCGTGATCGTGGACGACACGGATTACATCATCGGCCGGGCATGACTCACGATCATCGATCGGCACGTTTTAGCCGAACGGTGAAACGTGTCGTCGCCACCGATGATTTACTATCTCGAAAATATCGTCGCGGGACGCGTCTCTTATCTCGACTGTCACGTGGTCAAATCGAATCTTCGTGTTCCCGAATTCGTGAAACGATCCAAAAAGCAAAAAAAAAAAAAAAAACGGAACCAACTGTAATTAAACATTGCTAAGAGAGGAGAACGTATCCGTTCGACATACGTTTATCAGCGAAGCATACAAACACCGTAACTCATCCCACCGAAGAGCTCTATAAAACAGGAGAAAGTGATAAAGAAAGGAAAGTATTCGAGGCAGGCGATTTCAAGAAGCTACACGGCGTCGATTGCCCGGTTATTACGCCTCCGTGTCTTGTATACGGGGCAATTAATGAAAAGCGGAAGTGGATGCTGAGGCATCACCGGCGTATTACGTTTACGCGCGCTTCAAGAAGCCACCCATGACTGCTTTCGAAACCGTTTAGACTGTACACGCCGGGGTGTGGTAGGAAGCTCTTCTGCTCGAGTTCCTCGTCGAGCGAACCAACCAACTGTATTACCCTCTACCGATCGCTACCGATAGAACGTTAGTTGAGTGGAACAAGCAGTGTCCGGGGTGTGCAGTTAGGTTTTAGAAGAGCGACTCGCCGCGGTGGAACGACTTCAACATACTTTCCCGCGTCTTCGATTTCCATCCTCGACGTTCACGTGGTGACAAATCGCGAAACTGAGATCGAGGCGAAACGATGTCACCGATCGTCCGTGGCAGACTGGCGAACAGAAATGATGCGTAGACCACCGAGTAGCTAGCCTAACAATATCATTTATGGCTAGTTACGCAACCGTGTTGCGCCTATGGTACTTTCTCCTGGCGCGTGTCGGCGGAAATATTGTCCTGGAACGACGCCGGATTGGCGGGAAAAACTTGTTCGAAATTTAATCGAACGACGCTTTAAAAGGTGCATAAAGACGTGTACGGAAGCCTCTACTAACTTCATCACGGAGAAACTTTTCCAGCAGGTTCGATTCAACGAGAAATTTTCTCCCCGCTGAAGGAAATTATTGTTTCGAGTATTTTTCGAAAATTATCAACGACCGTCTATTGGAACGGAAGCAAGTACGCGGAAATAGGAGTGAAAAATTGCGGCGAAATTACCAACCCTCTGTACTTGGCCATTCGTTCATCGATTCATCAGGAGCACGGCGGGAAAACGACAATTAAATCCCGACGCTAATCGCGGTCGTTTAACGACGCCTGCATAGGAATCTCGTGGTCACGCCCACGTAAACGTTACTCGTCGACCAATAAAGGACCTCTCCGCGAGTAAGTGTGCACGGTGACCCCTTTAAACCTCGTGGATCTTGCGTCGAACGGTCGCGCCGTGAAAATGGGAAAAACCTCCTTGGCACCGTTTCGTCGTCGTCCGGTCGAGTCACGTGGAGAATCGATCCGTCTCTACTCCGCCGTAAATTCCATTTGAAATCACGTCTAACGAGGGAATCGGAGAGGCACGGCCTCTCTCGATTGATAAAGCTGCTAGGTGGTTCGAGGTGTTCGGTGAAAGTGGCAGTCGCAGGTTCGCGAGGCGAGCAACCTGTATGAAATATCGACGTCGCGTATCGTCCGGGACGATCGGTTTAACATTTATGTAACGATAATGAGAGGAAACAGCCGTGGATTGCCGAGCGAGCATAGAAATCTCGGTTATGAAAATTACACACACACACGCGATACCTAACATCCTCTACTCTGCGTCTGGCTAATAATTTGCAAAGTGAAACTTACGTTTGAAGAGGGTCTTTGCAGATTCAATTGCAACATGTTTCATTCTAGCTTTCAATGGTACTATCGAGTATATTGGGATGAGGATTTTTCGAAATTTGTTTGATGGTGTTCGATTGTCCTTGTCCGATCGTACAGCCCACCGGCCAGTAACACATCATAAACTAATAAACAGTCCTTTCCAGCCGTCTTCCTAGCCCCTAACAAATTCCTTCCCTACCATAAAACAGTTCAAGTCGCATCCTGGTCATGTTTCCTATACCTTTCCGGGTTTTCCCCAAATTATTTCAACTTTTGCCCACCACCTTCACCCTCGCGTTCTCCTTCCACTAGTTTCCTAATGTCCAGTCACACCTCCGCATTTTTCGAGACCTTTTCCACCACCTTCAACGTCCAACCAATCAGAACATACACCGACCCAATATATACCCACGCACCACCACAAAAGAGAGAGTTCAAAAAGACACTTCAGGAGGACAAGAAAAACCAAAAGACACATCTCAAGTATCATTCCTTACCTCCGGAAACGATCGTAAAGAAAGACACTGTACGATACGCGGTGTCGAAGCATCGGAGTGAAGAGTTACGACCTTCGCTAACGCGCCGTCTTTAGTAAAGTAGATCGCGTTGCAACCGGAAACGATCGTAAAGAAAGACACTGTACGATACGCGGTGTCGAAACATCGGAGTGAAGAGTTACGACCTTCGCTAACGCGCCGTCTTTAGTAAAGTAGATCGCGTTGCATCGCGAACTCGTGCAAAAACAGATGGTATTCACTGAATTTGTCGGAGTGCTTTCAGTGAAGAAATAACGTTCTCCTTCACCCAATTTTTAATCTCCTCGATAACCAGTCGCTAATGTTCTTTCGATTATACGAATTATTATAATGATCACTCACTTTTTCTCCTCGTCCCCGTTTTCAGAACACGGCGTGGTCGGTTCCTCGAGGGAGAGACGGCGCCTCGGTCGAGGCTGCAAGGTCGCCTCCACCCTGAACAAACCGGAAACGTAGTCGGTGGGCTTCTTGTGCTCTGGCGCTGGAACTGGGAGAGAACAAATCGTCACGCTCTGTAGTAGATTTAAAGGAGGAATAAAGAACCCGTAAGAAAATAGGAGAAAGTGAGAAAGCGGCTTTACATGTGATTGTTAACCCTTTCGTAATTTACGGGACGCGTGTATCACACTTGGATACTCCAAGGAAAATTGATCTCAATTTAGTATCTATCGCAGACGCAATGATCGGTGGATAAAAAGAGGTTCTTCAAGAAAATGATTTAATCGCGAAAGTGACACTTGCAGATCTGAAAATTGACGAATCACCGAGAAATTGAAAGTTTCTTCTCTTTAATAAGCGCGCTGATTTCTCCGTCCTTTTACTACAAGCAATCCTCGCGTGTAGCCCTCGACACGCGTGTTCCAATTTTAGAGCAACAGAAACAGAGGACGCGTAATTGAATAACACGGTTGGCCGGTCGATTGGTTTAACGCTTATTAAAATAAAAGGGTCGTCGGCCGGCCAGTGGACTCCACCTCGTCGCGGATGACGCAGCAGCGCGTCAACGGACGCGTGACACACGCAAACCTTTGCCTGTCACGTGTCCCTGTGTCCGCGGGTAATAAAAGTGTTTCATTAGGGGGGATCGAAATCGACGGTGAACTAAATCTGCGATAAGCTGCCGGGGAATGGGGGAAGCCAATAATAGCGGCGTCTGCGTGGCTTTTGTTAGACGCAATCGTTGCGAAACCGTGTAATCCCTCGACAGACTAATCCGACGAATTGGAATTAACGTGAAACTTTGCGAGAGATATACCGATATGGTGAAATCTGTTAAATTCGAAACAGCAATTTGAGGGGTGTTTAGGGTTGCTGAATGTCAATTTGGAGCCTTCTGAGCCTTAATCTTCAACAGCTCTACGTTAATGCTTATTGTATAACTTTAACCCTTTAACGCTCACATTTCTCTCAACTCGATATCCCAAAAATGACGAATTTTATTTTTTCTTAAATATTTCCTAGGCGTATAGAAATTAATTTCCCACTTATTACAATACCGTGATTCAGATGTTTGCAATAGAACAGAAAGGACAGCGCAATATGAAGAGCGAAAGAAAATAATTAAACAAACTTGCACTTTTTCGAGGATTAGTTGTGCAAGTGTAAAACACGAGCCTTAAGGGATTAGGTGAGTGTCGCCGTTTAACGCTCCAATACACAACTTCCACCAACTGTACACCGATATCCAATTAACAAAATCTCAACTTACCGAGAAGAGGCACCAGCTTGTCGTTCGGGCTGAGCTGGCTAGCCAAGTCCCTCCCCAACTCCTCGCACTCGATCTCCTCAGGCAGTTTCTTCCTGCAAAGCGGAATCTCCTGCGTCTTTCCAAAGCCTTCAGGCTCGTTAGGTTCCAGAATATCAGTCTGAGAGGCAGCGTCACTGGTAGCAGCGTTCACTCGAAGCACTACTTCCGTACGTTGCACCAAAGTTAGCCCCTCTATTCCTGGCTGAGGGGAGACGCATGGCGATGCTGGAAGGGACGATCTGTCCCCCTCCACGGGAGAATTTCTCGGCGACGACGAAGAGGAGGCCTTCGACACGCTCGAAATTGACGAAGTCGAGGACCTGCCTCCTGATCTAGACTTAGACGACGAAGACGACCTGTCCACTCTCAACTCGATCTCGTTCGTTTGATTCGAACGAACAGGCGAGCTCGATCTGATCGAGGAACCAGTGTTGTCCGTTTGCGTGGGACTGGAGACCTTCCTTTTATTCGGCGAGGAATTTTCGCTCTTGGAGAAACTGTTCGACAAGCTTCGCGGAGAAATCCTAGGATCGGAGGATCTGCTGGAGGAGGAGGAACTGGAACAGCTTCCGGATCGTCTAGGCACGGCTCCTCTTGGACTCTCTCCCTCCACTTGGTCCGGTGTCCTTGGCGGAGAGGTTATCGGAGGTGGTGGTCTTTCCGAGACAGGTGACGCCTCGATGGAATTCTGCATCTCGCGTGGCCAACAGCTGTCTGTCGTGATTGTCATCGTTGTGGAGGTGGAGGATGTTGTGATACAGGTAGTGATCGTGCTGGTCGACGTCGATGTCGCGCTCGTTCTCTTCTCGTTCCGACGATTCAGGAGCTCGATGTTCTGAGAGGTCATTTCTATGGTAGCGCTTCGCTCGCGGAAGAAATCTTCCTCGACCACCGAGGAGGGAGCGTCCATGCTTCGATTCTGCTTCTAATTACGATTTTCGTTACCGCTGCTTGGTATAAGAGAAAATTTTGCGAATCAACCTGTCGATGCATCAGCGGTGATACGAATTGATAAAAGAAACAAATACACATTTCCCACCACTGACCGCTAAACTAGTAGATCAGCGACGTTACACAGGTAAGTAACCCAGGTTTACCGCGGATGCATCGGCAAGAAGAGCGCGTTAAACGTCCAAAAAGAAACATTACCTCTCTGTTCTGAGGTAGGGGTTCGCAACTGGCCGCCAGCTTCCTGCGTTCCCGTTCCAGCTGTCGGTTCCTGTCGTTAAGGACCTCGACGCTCTGGGGCGACAGCCGTTCCCTACGTTGCTCATAATCGTGCCTCTTCTCCTGTTGCCTCTTCTCCTGATGATGATGATGATGATGGTGATGTCGATCCTCCAGGTTATCGTTGTTATTATTCTCGCTGGCTCGCGATCTCGCCTCGGTTGCCTGCAGTTTCTTGTTCAAATCGTGCGACAACTTTCCGATCACCTCTGCAGAATGTTGCTGTTGTTGCTGCTGCTGCTGCTGTTGCGCAGATCGTTCTTCTAAGCTGCTGCGAATGGTGATTGTTGTGATGGTGATGGTGATGGTGCTGCAACGGATGATGAGGCGTGACGCGAAGAAGAACCGGATCGTCGTGATCCCGCGGCGGTGACCAGTCCTCTAGGCGAGACGTCGGTGACATGGTTCTCTTGTAGCTGCCCTCTGTGTCGGGCGCTCCGCGTTCACGCCGGTAGGCCAGGTAAGAGGCCTTCGATTGGCTCCTGTAATGAGAAAATTGCACGCGACGCGATTAGGAGATGATCGTCGAGGAATCAGATCTGAATGGATGCTACTTATCGATCGCCTCAGGGGGAGAATTGAGTTGCTATCGTTACGGGAGGCACTGGCAGCCTGTGACGGTAATGGATTATCGAGAGGAGACGACGGAACCTGGAGAGACACGCTCCCTCATAGATACCAAATATGTGGCCGGAAGTTTGGCGCCGTGTCGCTTGTAATATTAGCCCTTTGCAATCGAGCGGCGACTCACAAGTGGCATTGAATAATTGTCACTTGGTAAATAATTAATCGAGTCAGAAAGACGATCTACGGGCCTTCGTAAATTTCTTCACCATAGTGACATGGAGAATACGCGAATATTTCAATAAAATAGTACAGTTTGTTTCTACGTTAATTTCCCTGTTTTCCTATAGCAAAGTAGACCGGTTAATCAACATTCAATTGTATTAACCCTTCGACTGCTAAAGGCGTGTGTGTATCCATCAATATATACGAAAGTCCAATAAAATTTGTGTTGCTGTTTTACTAAACTCTCGTTGGACGAGGCATAGAAACCGTATCCAGATCAACACCGACAAGAATTTCGATATTGTCGCGTGCTTACGATGTATTTTTCTCGCATAATCTAATAATTCTGAGTTAAACGGTTAACTTTCCCGTCTAATTCACCGCCTAGCTGTAAAATTTCATCCAAATCGGTACCCGGGACGAAACTCCTCCCTTATCTTTATTTTTATTGGCACGATAAAAGAGCACGATCACTTTTCCCGGGAATAGTGCTCCGTCGAGTAAGATAAATATCCCTCGTTCCGGGAATACCGGATTAATATCACGATCGTGTATATCAGAGATTCGGCGCCACGCCCGAAATTCACGTTATTACTCAGCGATGAAAAATAAACGCAGCGCGAAAATAGAGGAACCCGGCGCGGAGAACGCACGGCGATCCCTCTCCATCGTTCGAAACTGAAATAGTTGCGCGTCTGTTAGCTTCGATCGCAACACAACTACCGGCAAAGTTATACTTGAACTTCCAGTTCGTGCCCGGTCACAAAGCAGAATCGTTCGAATTTTTAACGAGGATCATTCGCATGGACGTCGTCGCGGCCGTTCAGGCGGGCGGCACCTTTCTCATTCGACACGGTGCACCTCGAAAAAAAGAAACATGGAAAACACGAACGTGCACGAGAGAGAGAGAGAGAGAGAAAGGAAAGAAACATCCGAAATAGACTTTTGTTCACCGATCAAATCACGTTTTTTTCTTCTTCTTTCTTTTTCGCTTACAGATTACACCGCAGACATGTGAGCAATTAAAGTAGACATAATTGTACGCAATTACCTCTCGGGTGCTTTCCAGTTTCTTTCTCCCGTGATCACTGGATGCATTTATTTCAATATTTCCAGCGAACGGGGTCGTCAAACGGCAATAAGCATGAAATACGAGGCAATTCAGTAGAACGCGACGTTTATGTTCAGCCATTGCGAATCGTTGCTAGTTATCCTATTAATATTCGATAGGAATTATCTGCATACATATATTCATAAGCGTAATTACTCTGTCGTGATCGATTTCGAGCATCGCCGGTAGAACCGAGTCACCCATCCACGGCCATAGAACATGAATAATACCAACACACACACACGCACAGGCGATAGAATGGAAATTCTTCGCCGATCCCGTTTCAATACACACCCGTAATTTAATACACTTTATCGCGATATTTACGTTTTCTCCGCATAATTGACACGCGCAATTATACTCGTTGGAATTCTAACAAAGTCACTGGAACGGTAAAATTCGCGCAACACAGAGAGAAAGAGTACAATCGTCTCCATTATCTTAATCCCGCTTCACTCGACACACACGCGTAATTTATTCGCGTATAGCCAATCGTGCATGGGATTGCCGGTTAGGTTTTGTCGAACGGCGCGCGTCGTATCGCGATTCCTCGAACGGAACAAAGTGCTCTTTAACGCGAGCGCGTTGCAGAGAGTAAAAGTGAACGATTGTTCGGTTGAGCCGCTTGCGAAATTCTTGCAGACGCATCCGCGATGATTGATTAATCGGCGATACCCTTAATCGCCGCGTGTGACGGATCGAAACCCTCCGATATCGAAATTAGAATGCGAACGGGGTTCGATCGGGACCGGATACGACGGTCGATGCGTGCGTTACGTGAATCTCAACCAGCGTTCCGCTTCGAGGAACGCTCTCGATCCTTTCCCAGGCGGTTTTTCCGCGATGACGCGCGAGCGGGCGCGTGGAAAAGCGACTCGATCGTCGGGGCCCGAGGTGCAACGATCTCTTTATTAACGTCCACGTTGTTGCGCAAGGTTTGTCTGTCGTGCGAAAGTAATCGTAACTGAAAAGTGTAACATCTTCTGTTGGCTCGAGCATGTGAAACATGTGCTTCGTTAGGGAGAGAGAAAGAAGAAATGTGGCGATGGATTTATTAGGTGTTCTTCTGGGTTGTTTCGCGGAGAAGGGAATCGGTTTGATGTAACAGAGTTAGGTTACAATTGTTTCTCCGCTAACTTACAATCTTCGAGTCTTTTCTTTCACACTTTTTCGTGGCGCCTGATTCGAAAGCGATGACAATCAGTACCGGTGTAATTATTGGAGACTTTTTGCACACCGTTCGAGCGAAACCGGTGTTCACGGTGTACACTCGATATTACCACAGCTGACTTATCGTTAATTGGTACCAGTTACAAGGGGGATTAGATTCTCGATCGATATGATTCTTCTATCTATGTCAAATTTGCTGGATTCTATCGAATCCGGGCTGATATTGTCATGCCACGTCTGTCGGAATACCGTCATCGCGTGCCGGTTTACGGGGCGAATACACACGCCTGGTTTGAAACAGGAGCGACACGAAACGCGGTTAAATAAGCCGCGAGTTGAATCGCTTTCTTAAATTAATCGATCGAGAACGACCTGCCCAAACGAACGCCAACTCTTTAGTAAGATTCACTCGTGTCATTTGCACCTTAAGATCATTTCAATTATACGTGAAAACGAGTAGTATCGCGCGGATGTCCGAGAAAAGGAAATTGGTCCAGGCGAGCTCAAGACAAGAATTAGGGTTGAATCTTAACTACGAGAGATTTCTTAATTTTAAGACACTGAGGGTGTGCACGAATGATTGCAAAGGGCGAAAATGCGTACTTTTCTCTCTGGGAAACTCAGCGCGAAAGAAATTAGAAAGGTACGTTGATTACGTCATCAATCACCAAATCTCACAAATGTGAACATTTTAAAAAAGTGATCTACAACGTCTGAAAAATAAGAATAACGAGTGAGGTAATTTCACATAGAAAATCTTGGATTTTCTTTTATTTCCTGTTTCGCCGTTTGTTCAGTCCGTCAGAAAATTGTTGTACGGCGATTCTTTCGAAGACGGTACATCTACAGAGGGCGTTCTTCACGGAAGTTCATAGGCAGAGGTTCACACGGCAGTCTAACGCCAGATTTCTGTCCCGTTCTGGTTAGTATCGTGCGTGTGGCTGCCGGCGGAAAAGAAAGTTTTTGCCGTAACGAGGTGGCCCGAGCAAAGGACGAAAGTAAAATTCGCGTCTCGATTCTAATCACGCGGTCGACGCGGCACCATTTCGACCGGACCTCCTTCTAACTTGTCATAATTCCATCGAGCAAAAAGAGAAATATATATACACTCGAAACGAGTCGAACGACTTTGGTAAACTTTCCAACTCCCGAAATTTTCCACGAATTCAACTTCAATTTCTACGTAACGACGTTTCGCCGGGAAGATCTCTATTCCTTCCTTCAGCCTGACGAAATAAAAACGAAAGAGGAGCATCGCTATCGTCTAAATTCCAAGAGATTCAAAATTCTAGAAGTAACAGGATCGAGAATTACTGGGAAAAGAGAAAAAGAAATGTTGCTATCTCACGATATCGGTGTTCAAGCAAACCCGTTGCACTATCATTTCCGAAGGAACGATAGTTCAGCGTGAGAACGAGCCACGGAGAGGAAAAATCCTTCGTCCCGTATCTTCGAGCACGCGAATCGCTTCCGTGAACGTTCCTCAGCCTAGCTACGTACCTGAAACCTTCCTTACCTCCCCCCCCCTTCTAGCCTTAACCACAATTCGACAGTACTTCCTTGATTTTTCCTATTTCCACGGTTCATCTAATCGTGCCGTGACAACCGAACGATTCCATTGTAAACTGACGCGTTACGCAACGCGGCCGTGTAACTCGACGCGTTGCGCAAGCCGCGCGTGATAGCGCGAGATCTATAATTTTATAAGTATATACAATTATGTAAGCGGACACCGGAGACAAGAGTCGCGACCGTACGAGACCGCGATTTCCTGTTGCGTTCACCGGTATAAAATTCATCCGCGCCACCTTTGTACGGAATTCCTTCTTAATTATCCCGAGGACTGATCCTCGCGGCTCTGGAGAATCTGGTGTATGCTTGTACAGACGATTCTTCTTGATTGGGGGAACGTTGGATGGACCGTGGAAAGAGGAAAAATCGAGGATGATTTTCTTACTTTTTAGGGGTAAATTTGGACGAACACCGGAAAGAGGAAACTTCGATGATGATTCTGTTATTTTGGGGGAAAGTTAGACGAGGCGTGGGAAGAGCGAAAGTTGAGAACGATTCCTCTTTTTTCTTTTTTTAGGGGAAAATTGCAGAGACGAACCGTGGAACGAGGGAAAATCGAGGACGAGTCGTTTCTTTAGGGGAAAATTAGATTAAGAGGAAAGATCGAGGATGAGACTGTTTTTAAAAGAAAATCAGATGAACCGTGTAAAGAAGAAAAATCGAGGATGATCCTTTTTCTCTTTAAAAGAAAATTAGATTAAGAAGAAAAATCAAGGGTGATTCTTTTCATCACTGGAAAACTAGATTACGGGGAAACATCGAAAGTAATTCTTCTTTTAGGAGAAAATCAGACGAACCGTGGAACGGGGGAAAATCGAGGACAAAAGTCCTTCTTTAGGA